GACAGGGGACACGGGATACGGGACAAGGCAGAACAGGGACACGGGGGACACGGCGGGACACGGGAGGGACAGGGACACGGGATACGGCAGAACAGGGACACGGGGGACACGCGGGACACGGGAGGGACAGGGGATACGGGGAGACGGGCGCGGGACACGGCGGGACAGGGACAGGGCGGGACTGGGACACGCGGGACACGGGAGGGACAGGGACACGAACACGGGACACGGGAGGGACACGGGAGGGACACGGGAGGGACGCGGCAGCACCAGCACCGAGGCCGAAGCACGGGGCTCTAAACGGGGAACGGCCCCGAGCACGAGGCTTTAGAGGGGGAACACCGAGCCCACAGCCAGTGGTTTTTAAATCAGGAATGACACCGAGCCTCTCGCGATTTGAAAAGGGGTTTAAGTCAAACTCCGTGCTTTTTAAAAGGCTGGTACCGAGTAGCTGGAACTGGGCAGTTCTGGGTAAGCAGCTGCGGTGGGAGCATCCTGCACTCGTCTCATCTTTTACGGATAAGAGAGCACAATTCCAAGAGGAAGAGAGCAGGAACCTGCACAGGCAATTCCAGCAGTGGGGATCCATCACAAACACTGAGCACTAAGCCCCTGCTGCCATCAGACCCCACCGCAAATGCAGAGAACTCAGCTGGGGCTGAGCATGAGGTGAGGGCGAGATCTCATAAACAGGGACTTGGGTGCTAATTGGAAGTGATGTAATTTGTAACCAGTGAATGTTGCTGTTTGTTATAATAGATGTAATAATATATTTGTAGAAATAGTGCTGCGTTGATGATGGGGCCTTTCAGAGGAAGCTCCCTGCTTTGTGCAAACTGGAATAAAACACACGAATTCCTCAGGGTGATGTGAGAACTGGAGGCAACAGGACAGAAACCTGTGATGGGGACAACACAGCCCCTACTGAAGAAAGAAGAGACTGAGCACAGTGAGGAATTTTTTCAAAATCAGTAAAACTTTATTCTATTTCCATTCTTTGCCATTAACAGAAAAAAAAATTGGAGAAAGCAATGTTTTGTTTTACAAAGATAATGCATCTCCCAGAGAAGAAAACCCTAAATTGAGAATAGAGGTAACATGAAAAAAAAATACCAAACCAAACCTTGGGGAAAAACAAACAAACAAAAAAAAGAAAAAAAAAAAGAAATAAAAAAAAGAAAAAAAACAAACTAAAACAAAAAAATCCCAAACCAAACCACAGTACTGCCCTCTATTCCAAAAAGTAACTCCTGATCTTTTTGGTTAAAGTAATACTTAGACCAATCATTCCGTTTTCTTGCTTGATAAAGTGTGACTGGGGAAATGGAGGGAGGGGGCAGGGGAGGGAAAAAAAGAAACCAAACCAAACAAAAACAAAAAAAAAACAAAAAAAAAAAGAAAAAAAAAAGCACACAGACATCAACTATTCACCTTGATGAAAGTCTCAATACAGCTATGGAAAGCCTAAGTATTTATTCTCTTACAGTACACTGGGTGCCGGCTGCAAAAAGAACAAAAAAAATGTATCCACTTCAGGCACAACTTCTTTCTTTTTAAATTTAAATCAGTAAAAGAAACTGGGTTTAGAAGCTGCAGTGTTCTAAGCAGCAGCAGATTTGTGCATTGTTTTAAATATATTTAAATTACCACACTGATGGCACACCTCAGCCTTATGAAATTCTGCACTGTCTGTTCCAGAACACTACAAAATCCACCGACCCTGGGAGAGACTTGCACTGAGCTCTAAGGGCTGGCAAAAGGAGTCAAGTTAAATGAACAAGGAAAACACTGTAACATTTGGCCATCAACTCAAGGTATCTGAATGTTTGTGGAGATCTGACAGAAACTGAACTTATTCCACCCTCACATGGTCCTCAGAATTCGAGCAGAGTGAGCTGAAGTGAGTCTTCCACTTGGGAAGGAAGGTAATGCAACTGAGCACTAAGGCATAATAAACCTTGGCCAAAAACAAGGGTAAAGCATAATAACTGTAGTGCAGAATTCCACAAGGTCTGCCTGAGCAGAGCTGTCTATGTTTACTCACAGAGGCAATGGAGATTGCAGTTACCAGTTGCGTTAAATGCACCATTCAAAACAAGCTTCTAAAATGTGATACTATAAGGCGCCACCTTAAAGTTCTCCAGAATGCAACTGTGCAGAAATTTAAAATGGTTTCGTAAATTTAATTTTAAACATAACATGAGAAGGTGTTAAAACTGGTGGAATAGCTTCTGAGAATTTGGAGGAAGGGGTGAACAGGGAGATATTCAGTACCCTTCACCAGCCCCACCGCGCGGCCCAATGTCGCCATGGGGTTGGGATCAGTCTATAACACCAGCCTGGCGGATCTTTCTCTCTGCACCAAATCCCTGCAAGGAAAACAGAACAAACTTTTAGCTCCAGCACCATAAAATCATGACATCATTTAGACTGGAAAAGGGCTTTAAAATCATCAAGTCCAACCGCGAACCTGGCACTGCCACTGGGCTTTGAGGCAGAGCCTGGTCTGCTCCACCCAAGCAGCACCTTTCTAATTAGTCATGTTTGTCTTCAGAAACAGAGATAGCAACAAAACAGATTCTGTGGGGTGTTCTTTGTAGTCCAAAACACCTCAGAGATTCGACACTTTTCTCCTGCTTATCAAGAAGTGACAGAATGTTGTGTGAAAGCCATGTCTAGGTAAATGGACTTCACTTGCTACCTCTGAGGCTAATAAATGAAGTGCAACCTAAGACAGCCAAGACAAACCACAACAGAAAGGCTCCAACACAGGCAGCAGCGGGTTGCTTCTCTCCTGTGCGCTCCTCTGAAAGCACAGCTCACCTGGCACAGCCGAGCTCACCACAGAACAGCAGCAGACACCAGCTGCTGACAGAGGCAGCAGTGTTGTGTCCCCTGGCACCTGCTGCCCTGGTGTTTGTACCTTTGAGTTGTCGGGGCCCCGGGGCTGGCGGAGCACTGTGAGCCGCGGGGCGTTGGCATCGTCCAGGTTGATGCTCTTTAAACGGTTCACGAGTCTATCGGGACGTGGAGCAGCCACGGCCTTGGCGCCTTCGCTGCAAGAAAGCACACACGGGACAGGGTCACCCTGAGCTGGGCAAGGCACCCCAGGCTGCCACAGGCCTTGAGCACAGTCATTTCCAGCAATTAAAGGCTGTGGGATTGATGCTGTGTGACTGCCTGGCCCAAACCTTGCTGTGCACTCTGCACTAGCAGCAGCTCAGTGCTCTCCAGAGGGTATTCTTTAGGGAGCAGAGGTCTTTCATGCACACCTAACCAGTGCTTCCTACATTTCTATTGCCCAGAGAAGCTGGGGCTGCCCCATCCCTGGCCAGGCTGGATGGGGCTTGGAGCTATCTGGAATAGTGGCAGGTGGCCCTGTCCACAGCAGGGGTGGAACAAGATGGATTTAAAGTTCCTTTCCAACACAACCCATTCTGTGATTTAACTGCAATAATAAAGGCTTGCAAGCTACCAGCATATCATGGCAGAGAATTAACATCTCTGAAGATAATGGGAACACAGAATTTTAAGACAAAAACATTAGCTTTCTGTTACTGCTGAAGTGCTACCTCAATAATTATCTCATAATATAAATTATGCAGATTTCTTCAAATGTGTATATAGTTAAAAAAAACCCAAACCCATCACTTGTAAGAAATGCCATGCCAAAAAGAAGAGTGTCTAAAACATGAGTTTTCTATTTAAAAATTAAAGCTGCTCTTCAAGAAAAAGGTGGCAGCACTATGGAGTGTGCTGGCCAGAGGCCAGCACCCACACAGGAAAGCCATCAGTTTCCTTTTCATTAAATTCCACTTGCAAGACTGTATCCAAATTCCTGCTATAGAGGAAGTTTAAGAATAGGTTAAAAAGAGAACAAGCCATCTGTACTTAGGAAGAGCTGGGAGTGCTGCTGCTGCCTGCACTGGATCCCCTCTAAGAGCTGGGAACTCTCAGGTGTGGCTCCCCCTGGAGTCAGCTGGAACCCAGAGCACCTGTTCCAGGAACGTGCACCAGCTCAGGAGGACCCAGCCTGCAGGGATGCAGACACTGTGCCAGGTTCAATCCCTTCAATCCCAGAGCCTCACCAGACACGCCACACGTTACAGGCACTGCATTTTCCTGTGCGCTGGTTCAGGATTACGGAGAACTCCACTTCATCCCCAGCCTGGAGCTCCACACCATCCTGGACTTCTTTGACATGGAAGAAGAGCTTTTTGCTGTCACCAACTTCATAGTTAATGAAACCAAACTGAAAAGCAACACATCACAATGTTATTGATTTGCTCTGCATCCAGACACATGCATTAACTTACTCATCACTATAGTTTAACTACTTTTAAATAAAACTTCAAAACTGTGGTGCCTAGCAGAAGTGGAAATACAATTTCTGCAGTGATCAGAACATTCTATCCAGAAACACTTCTGGAAATCCAGGCACTCTTCCTCGCATTGTAAAGTCACATTTAAAATCCTAAAGTCTGTAGAACAAGTTCTGAGAACTGCCCCCAAGTCTTGGCAGCTGTATTAAACAGAGAAGAGCAGTGCCCCAAGCTCTCAGACTCCACCCTGAAGTTACACAGCAGCAACCACTCAATTTTTTGGCCTCACACTGGGATAAGAAACTGTTTACTTCTATTTTCCATTCTGCTCATGTGTAAGTCAGGAATATTCATCCAACCTCTCCAAAAATGAATGGAGAGTAGTGCTGCACGGTATCTCTAAAAACAGAAAGCATTTGCAGCATTTAACTTTCTAATCATTACAAGATGCAATGAGGGCAAAGATCAGCCTTTGCATTTCAGGTGAACTCTAATCACCTACTGCTTAATGCTGTGAAGAAGTTTCTTCCAGAAGCGAAGTATGTGCATGCTTTGTTTGCTTTTCTGAACACTTTTTAAATATTCTGTGCAGCAGAAACCAGTTAAAGCAATTTCTAGGATATCTCAAACCCAAATCTTCAGAATTATCTGCTGCCCAGCAGTTCTGATGTTTCAGCACCAAACCAGCCTCTGAGCTCACCTTTACTCAAGTCACACCAGAGTCTGGCATAGCCTGGGTTAACACACCTGCTCCCTAGAGCTGGAGTCCAGAGCAAGGTGTTTGGGCTCAACCCCCTGAATTCCAGTGCTGAAGTGGTCCTCAGTTGCTCTGTGCCAGCTGGAGCAACTATTTCCCATCACCAAGGCCCTGGTGCTCACAGGCACTCACCTGGTCCTTGACGCACTCCACGGTGGCCCTGCGGAACGGGGTGATGTTCACTGCCATCGTCTGCCCGTTCTGACCCAGCACACACAGCTGGAACTTTACTGTCTCCCCCTTCTGCAGACAGTCACCTTTGTTTGCCATGCCAACAATTCCAAAAGGATAGACCTCTCCTTTCATCTCACCTAGGGGAAAAGTATGAGACAGAACTGAGAGGCCTTTGCCACATGATTTCAGATTTCCAGTATTACAAATGCTGCTTTTACAATCAGCTTAGCAGCATGGATACAGTTTGTAGTGTGAATAAAATCTTCAACAGCTCTATTTACAGTGCCTTCAACTTGTGTGCTTGTGAAAAGAACACTTAATTAAAAAGAACCAATCTTACCATCCTCCATAACTTCAATCATGCCCTGGTACTCTGTCTGTGTGGGATCTACACTCCTCAAGGGACGAATTACTTTACCAGAGTAAACAGTTGGATCAGCTTCTTCAGTGATACCATTCACTGAAAAGAGACCGAGAACAGAAGAACAGGATGTTTTAATCATAGTTTATTTTAAAATTGATTTAAGTAAGTGATTCAGATTCACCAGGAGTCAACATTTTGCACTGCATGACACTGAATCAAAATCACACTGACATATTATACATGGAAGTAGAAAATTTTTTCTCAAGAAACTTAAGGTCAGAAAGCTTGAAAAGCAAATCAAAGTGTTTCCTTTCTTTCTCTTCCACTACATTCCCCATTCAAGTTAATCATCCAATAATTTTTAAGCATGAATTCCCCCCACTCTCAAGTCCTCAATACCCTCCACCACCTGCCCTGCTCCTGCAGTCTTTTCCCTGTGAGGAACAGCATAATTAGTGCAGGTACTGATCTGGCCAGTTCTGACACTCTGCCTCTCTTGTCTGTTCTCTGCAAACACAGGAAGCAGCTTTCAGGGAACCAATGACCAACCCACACTGAGCATTTTCTTCCTCTCAGCTCCAATTGTAAATGGATCATTAACAAACTTTACTCCTCAGCATGTGCCAAGAGCCCTGCAGGCAGAAAACACTAGGTACAGCCTTACCTGCATGTGTTTTGTTTACTTTCTCTGCACTAACTTTATTTCCTTTGCCTTTTG